TACTAAAGCTATGTTCACTAATTGTAGTAAGTAGACAGGATACAGACGAAGGGTATACAAAACCCTTTATTTTTTCTTTATATACAATGACTTCCGTACTTCGGAATACAATGACCCTCCACTCGGGGTCTAACTTAAAAGATATCAAAATAAAACTAAACTCTAATTTAACTTTAGAATAAGATTGGCCTTATAATAACAGGAAGCGTATGTAGCACAGAGACTGTGAACACTACAATACGTTTAATTTATCAAGAGGATTAAAACCTCTGGCCTGGAAGGCAAAGTAGCAACTGCGTAACTTCTAAGGTAAGCGGCCTGCTTCGAAATCACACGGCTTCCTCTCTTCTGCTTGGCAAAAAGGCCACACTTAAATACTTGGCGTTCGCCAGACAACTTTGCATAAACTCCTTCACGCTTATAATTCTGGCCGGAAGTAGAAAATAAGAAGTGATAGTAAAGATTTAAAATAAAATAAACGTTAGTAAAACTTAAGATCCTTACAAACTAAATACTGGCTAAAGTATGGAAAATTAGAAGAAGAAGATTAAAATCTTCACTCAATTCGGGCTATAATTGAGACTTTTGAAAAGAGTTGGCCCTTTATTAGTAAAAGGAAAGAATCCAGTATTGATTAAACATACAATATTTACAAATTTATTTACAATAAAAAATTTACAAATAATTCTTTACTCTTCTTTATCCTTCATTACCCTCCAGCTAAGGTTTAAGGTAATGTTATCATATCAAAAAGAGCCAAAAAAATTATAAAGTAAAGTTAATGCCTGCCTTTTTAATATTAAATTAATAAATTTTGGTGGTACTTGGTTATCAACTTGAAACATTAATTAGCTTTATTTATTTTCTTCCTTTAAATCGTCTATTTCAGTACATAATTTTTTATTCTGATTATTTGGCTATGAAACGTGTTTTCTATTACTTTTCTAGAGATATTAGAGTTCCAATTAATTAGTTTAATAGTATGAAAACGGAAATTCTTTCTTTTATCATATAATTTAATTTTGCTGTGTTTACTAATTTGCAGGTCTAGTTATTCAATAGTATCTTGATTCGTATTCGTTTTATTAAGTGTTAAACTATTTGGGTAAATTTTGAATTGTTCAAAAGTAGAATTATTATTGAAAGTAATAATATCATCTATGTATCTAAAAGTATGAACAAATAGCTTTAATTCATTCTTATTTAAACTTAGTTGGAATTTATATTCAAAAGTAAAAAAAAAATAGGTTACAAATTTGTGTAGAACTGTTTGCTTCCATAGGAATTTCTCTAACTTGCTGAAAGATCTTATTATTGAATTTAATGTAGTTATTAAATAATGCACATTTCAGATAATTATTCCATATTCAATACTAAGGATGTCAAGTATGTCAGGAAAAAGTTGTGGGAGTTGCATTAAACTAGTAAAAAATTCTTTTAAAACTTTAATTCTTAAATGCTAATTTCTAAGGGTACCACTTTATTGGTATTTCTTTTTGGACATTCTCCACTTTTTACTTTTGGTTTTGACTTTTACCCTTGCCTGCATGAATGACGAAACACGAATTGAATGATTGGAGAGTTAGGTTTGGAGGCAACTTCCCCCTGATAAGTCTGTCTCCTGCCTGCTCAACAGTCATTCACTTATGCATTTTTTAAAAAGAATGTATGGATTAATTTTAATTTGCTAAATTAGTGAATTTATTTTCATGGATTAGTTTTGCACTTGATTTGCTTATGCTTCTGAATTTAAATGATATTGTAGATTAGTTCGAGAATTAAATCTTTTATATGTTTACACATTTTTTTAAATATATATATATATATATAATTTTTAAATTGTTTTGGCTTTAAATTTGCTTTTTACTTCCTTGTAGGAAGTATAAAGGAAGTATTGCAATCGCGAAAAGTTTCAGGCAGCATATTTTAACGAAAATATTCATTTTGACCGCTTTCGAATGCAATTTAACGATGTTTTTGCGTGATATCTGTGCGTAAGGACAGAATAAAGGACTCGTTTCCTCCAAAAAAAATTATAAAACTGCTTTAAAATTAATTCTGAAGAGAATTTTTCGTGGCGTCTGTACGAACGTATGTACGTACGTGCGTACGTTCGTACGTACGTATCTCGCATAACTTAAAAACTAGTAGCCTCAGAACGTTGAAATTTTGTATATAGGACTGCTATAACATGTAGATGTGCACCTCGTATTTTGGTTGCAATCGGCCGCACCAAACGTATATAAATATGTTTATATAAATATCCACTCTGTTACCCGGTTCAGTGATCTCAGTTTCTTTACTCTTATATGTTTGTAAATTGTACATTTTTTGCTTTAAAATGATTGAATTATGTTGTTCTTATCTTCCGGTTAAGGTTTTTATGCCTTTAGTAAATCTCTATGCAATATTTTTAGAATTATCAACCATTTTAAAGTTGTGTAAGTGCCACTAAGCCTTGATGGCGGACATTGTTTGTTTACATTTGAAACAGCAGGATAGTGGATTTGTTGCCAATCTATAAAAACTTAGCTTCGCAACAACAAAGATAACGCCTTCATTTATTATTGCCAATTAAATCATGCTTAATCTTTTCTGGAATTTTTTCGAGGAAATAAGTGTAAGATTTTTTTCGTAATTTTTAATATAGATATTTTGAGTTTTTATGTATTTTATCCTTCTCGCGAAGTGAGAACTGAATTAATTGAATGAGAAATACCCAATCGTCTGTGAAAAACTGTTTCTTTTTTGTTTTGTTTGCTTAATTTCTTTTATACATAGTTCTAGCTTTATTATAGTATTTGAATAGAACATGTGGCAACGATTAGATAATTCTTTAAATGATATACATTTTGTGCATTCTGAGTTATAATATGAATGAAATATAATACTGTTAAGTAAACCTAGCGCCAGAGTGTCGCTATGGTAAAACAAAGTGAATTTTAAAGAATGCATTTATTCTATTGTGGTTTTATGCGCTGTCGGCGAAGTAGGTTTAATTCAATCTCTAATAAGTTTAAATAAAATGCAAGAAAAATGGCGTATAACTTTAATATTCCGTACAAGGAAGTCATGTGGTGTACACATCAGATTTTTTTAATTTTGGCTTTAAATTTGCTTTTTTACTTTTATACGTGTTTGTTAAAATTTAAATTTAATTTGTTTAAATATAGATAAATATTGAAATTTTCGTATAAAAAGTGTAATTGGTGGAAGGCAGTAATTTTACTACGACTATAAAAAGCAAAATTCGTTGGACAGTAGAGGGATAAGTAGTGGAATTTCACAAAATAGCAATTAAAATATTTTAAGTATCTTATAGATACGGAATAGATATAAATGAACGCAATTAATACATGAACAGCAATATAATAAGTTGAGAATTCAGAAAAAAGAATCAGACCGCTTCTTTTTAGTTATGATGATGAAGTTGGCCGCTATTAGCTTCACAATTTGCGTGCTTGCCTAAAAGGGTTTTGTCAAAAAGGATTAATTATTCAGTTATTTGTAAGCATTCTTAATGTTAAGCTTACTTTAATGATTTAATTGTTTCCAAAATTAATGAGCTTTGTCTTTTCACTTTCAAACTGAGCTGTTCTATTTTATGTTAAATAAAGAGCCGTTTTTATAGGTTTTGATATTCTTATCCTGCTAGAGGATTCGGCTCAGTGCCTCTGTGCACGTATATCAGTACTAAAGTGCATATGTATCAGCTATCCAATACGCCTTTTCAGCTCTCTAGTGCAGGTTTTTAAAATTTATTATACTAGGTTTCGAATTTAAATCTGCCAACCAGTAGCAGAGTGGTTAAGACAGATAAATAATTGCCATTTGATACTGGTTTGAACACAAGCAAACGGGCTGCCTGCATGATCATAATCAGTTTTAGCGGTTTCTCCTATGTGTAACGTGAATGTGAGTCAATTTGCTTTAGAAAGTTCCCTACGAAGGCATCCCTCCTCTTAGGCAGTGACCCTCATGTGCTTAACTGTTTTCAAATAGCCTTCAACCGAATTTAAATCTCAGATATTTAGGTTTAATGACGAAAAAAAAGGAGAACTGAAATTATTTGAATCAATTTGATATACTATATATTTGTAAATTACTAATTGAATGTATTTATTGAAAATTATTCTGCAGAGGTTTTCAAAGCAAAGAAAATATTTTAAGCAAAGGATTTATTCTCAAAATATTTAGAAAAAACCTTGGTGATAAAAGTATTTGTAAATACTGAAATTTTAAATAAAATAGCTTCAATTTTTCAAAAGAATTTAACTGATTTGCTACTTTTCACGATGAAATTAATTTTAGTAAATAAAAAAATATGATGTTCTTATTTTTTCTGATTTTTTGCCTATAGATTTCCTAATTTCCTAACTTTTAAATACACAAGCAGCATAAACGATAAATTTTTCTGAAGTTCTACAGCTATTACATAAACATAAACTTTTCTGTAACTATTACATAAACGATACACTTTTCTGAAGTTCTATAGCTATTACATAAACAATAAACGTTTTTGAAGCTCTAGAGCGGGAACAAGTGAAACTTTCGGGGTAGAGAAATTTGTACAAAATCGGAGAATGTATTTATTTATTTTTTAAATTGCATGTATCAGAAACTGTAGTAAGATATTTGTTTTGATAGCTGTAACTTGGCAGAATGAAGTAACATAAGTTTTTAGTCATCTGAGTTTATTTTATATTTCTTGACCATCAATGCAAAACTGATAGTGAGATTTTGTGACCAATGAGATTTAGTACAGAGGAAAAATAATTCTTCAGCTGAGAAATTTAGAACTAGCACCCGCCCCCCATTTTGGGTTTCGAATATCGGGTAGCTCAGAGAAGAGGAAAGGAAACAACACCACCGTGTTAAAAGTGTGGGAGCTTACCACCTGGCGCCGCCCTCCAGCTGATGGGGATCCAGCCTGGTCTCGTGTATCTCATATGTTCCGCAAGTCAGGTGGAAGAATGACTTTTCTGCATTGCTCTCTCTTCCAATGGAAAAATAATTTGTATATTATGAAAGTCCAGAAGGCAAGCTATTGAAATTATGAAGAAAATTTAGAGGCTTCATTTCATTCGTACTCTGTCTTTTCGTAGCAAATACGAATGGATCTCAGGGCTCTTCTATTTTTGGAGAATAAGTGCTGTTACGCATATTGTGCATTTGCATTATCGCATGAATGTGAAGTACCGAAATAAGAGGAGATGTTGTATAAGAAAGAACTATCTTTATGGGAAAGTTCTTCAGGTTTCAACGAGAATCTTGACTTAGTCTTTCTCATTGCGCCGAATAAATAATTCGTGATGTAATTTTTCCTGTTGCTATCAGAAATGAGAGAAAACTATGAGTTAATGATCAAATCCAAATGAGTGATACTTTCTATCGCCCTAAAAGAATTTTTTCTACTCTTTTGTAACCATGCTAAATGCTTTCCTTTCGTTTGATCTTCGAACTCACTTGCATGACTTGACTTGAATGAGATTTCATATAAGATTTGTTTAAATAAAAAAAGCAATTTTTCCACATATTGTTTCCATGCCAGAAAGCCTTTTTGATATACATATTGCAAGGATATCTTGCGGCGATTTCTACTGTTACAGAAATGCATGCTGTAGAAAAGACTGGATTTTCTCATCCTGCGGAGAACGCACAATAAAGGGTATTGCAACCGGGAAATTAATTGAAATGAATGTGAAAATGCGTGGTTTATTACCTCAATAGTAAATGAAGTAAAGAATTTAGAATTCATATAATGAGCTCATCAGTTGTATCAGTCTGTGACATTCCAGAGGGAACGTTCTCCTTACCTGGTGTAGGATGCATTGACTTTAGACAGACTTTAGACAAATCAGTGCCAAAGGTGTACTTACATGTGAGTATTCCCATATTTATATTTTATTTAGTTTTTTTTTAAAAATTATTACAGTCGTGGAAAAAACGTATCATTATGCAGCATTCTTGTGAGATTTACTGAAGTACTGATCTAGGTTATAAATTGTACCAAGAAATAAAATGTATTTCATGCTCATCAAACAAGTGAGGATACATGTTTGAACTTAAGTACTTTAAACACGAGGATTTTTGCAAATATTTTTTAGTACTGTATGTATTAGAAATTCTTACGGTTTAATTCTGAGTAGTAGTTTCAGAGGATTTTACTTTTATCTACTAATTACCGTGTACCTGAGAACTTCAAAAATTTCCAAAACGTTTTTAATTAGTGATGGTATTTTTAACATAAGTATTTTGATAACAAATATTTTATCTATCATGGGTGCAACGTAAATTCATTTATTTGAATTATTAAAAGTATTTCAAACCATTTAATTTTATATGACAAAATTTAATAATGTGCTTTTAGAGACTTTAGAAAACACTAAACATTTTTTAACTTCAAAGAATGTAAAAGATGCTCAATATTTTTCTATTCATTTTTATTAGATTATCATTTTAATTATAAAATTGAATTGAGATATTAAAGAAAAGGCTATAAAATTTATAAAGTAATAAGTTTACTTTAAACTAACTTTTTTTAAACTTCAGCTCATGATTAAAAAAAATGTTGCACATACATAAGTGAAGTATTTAGCTCTGATCTAATGTGGAGGTGAGTTCAAGTCTAAAAGCTAAAAAATGTATTCAGTAAAATAGTAAATGCTTTCTTTTTAGTTCAGTCAATAAATTTAATAGTAGGTCTTTCTTTCAACGTATATAATAATTCATTTAGCATTAAGGGCAAATTGTCTTTTCCTGTATTAAAATTACACATATAAATACATTTAAATACTTACATAGCTTTTCTTTTATTACTTAAAATTCAGGGAAAAAATTAAAACTTATAGTCAACTGCAATTCTTTTCAAATTTAGCACTATTACAGGTTTATGCTTATAATGTTCATAACATTCTCCAAAAGCTAGACATAAAATAAAAGGAAAAAGTAAATAGAGGGATTTAAATAGTTTAACGAACAGAAGAATATTATAACAACATTTATGATTAATGTTTAGAAGTATGCCTATTTAATATTAACCATATCTAAAATTTAAACTTTTAGGTGGATTTATATGGAGGCCATTTGAGTATTGTAGAGAAAGAGTACGGTCAAACTTGGGCACGCTTCATTGCAATTGCCAGAGACTGCCATGAACAAAATGTCGAACTGATAAAAAACCAACAAGGTTTTCTTCTCAGGGTGACAAGAGCTATTAAAATTTCAGATGAACTGTTCGTTTGGATTGGAACTGATTTACTATCAGAGCTAGAATTTCCTTTCTTAAAGCCAGTAAATATTAAAGGTGAGCTGCTGTTTTAAATTATAAACTTTATTTATTGAAATTATTCCTCCGATTTAAAGCATGTAACTTGCAGTTTTGGCAGTAACGATCTTCCCTTTTTTATCGCAAGGTATTTTCTTGCACAGTATTTCCAAAGATGATGTTTTAGTTTTTGGGTTAAGCCGGAACTCGCTGAAAGTTGTGAAAATTATTTTTATTTTTTGCTAAATTTTAGAATTTTAAATAGTTTTAATTTAGGTTAAAATAACACGCCGAACAAATACTAATTTAGAAGTCAAACAACAAAAATCAGCATTATATTGTGGTTTGTTGTTTAACTTCTAAATTAATAATTTTAATTTGTTTAGAAACGTTGTTTTTACAACCATTTAGTTTACGAATGCTCTACATTCATGTATGAAACATTTATCCTTGATGCATATTGAGAATCCTGATTCAGTTTTTCAGCTACTGTTAAATTTTCTTTTATACAAAAAGATAGTTTGCAATATTCCAGTATGATTTCCAAAAAGACTAGAATTTTCATAAATCAAATGCAACATGTTCAACAAACAATGTTAGGACGATGTCCAGAAATATTACATTCTCTTAGATTATCAAATAGCTCAAAAATTATCTCTCGTATTATTTCGATTTTCTGATTCCGTGAAAAGCAGTTAAGTAAACTCAAGAAAAATTTTTAAAGGAATTAGAAATTCAGAAAACAGAAGTGGGTAAGTTTCTATATCTAAACTTAACCTGTAGTATATGATCGTGGCTGATCCTTTTGAAGAGTTTTTTATCTTTAGGTTCTCTTATAAAATAGCATTGGGGCCTACCAGCGGCCGAGCGGTAAAACTGCTGAACACTGGTAGTTCGATCCGAGGTTCGAATCCCGCGAACGGGCTGGCTGCATGGGATTTTTCGTGGTTTTCCCCATGTGTAACGTGTATACGAGCCAGTTACCCTTAGAAAGTCCTCCACGAAGGCATCCCTTTCCTTAGACTGATAGCCCTAGTGTGCTTTGCCGTATTCTTAATACACCGAAATAGCATTGATTGATAACCTAGTTAATTGTTCAATATGAGAAATTTTTTGAAGTTCACATCTTTGCACAAAATGTACTTGATTTTGGCTCTAATAAGACTAGAACTTTAAAGATAGAATTTTTAAGCTCTCAAAATATAAAATTCTGATGATAACGGAAAATGTATCTTGCAAATTAAATTGAGTCTAGGCTGATGCCTTTGTCAGAAAAATGAAGGTAATCAAGTACTTGGGATTGGAGAGATGGCGAGACAGTAATATCCTATTAGTTTCAACATCACTGGTCGAAATAATTTATTACAACTGCGTTTCTCTTGAAGGAAGAATAAATGAAGTTGCCTCACTTTATAACGACTCATTAAAAACTGATGAAAAGACACTCTACCAAATGGCCATTGTATGGAATGTTGCTCGAAAGTTACCAAATCTGAATTTCAACATGCTATTCCATTAAAACTTTAAACAATCAAGGAATTAAATTGTGATTTATGCTTGCAATTATTTATAAAGAAGTATTATTTGCAATGAATTTTCAAATAATTAAATATTTTGTTTATTTAAAAACTTGTATTTGGCAGTTTCTACTTAATTTCATTTAACCCTTTGAAAAGGAAGAATGTATAAGGCAATTATTTGCAATTTATCTAAATCTTTCATTTTTCTAATATAATATTTTATGCTGATTTGTTTTAGGTGACGTTCTGTAAATGGATGTGTCTCATTTTCAAAAGTAATGGTTAACGCAGTACATTGGCTTGCATTTATTTCTTCTTGGAAGAAATTCCGCAACAGCGTAATTTCATTCTTATTGATATATACGATTTTTCTTCCTGTATATGTTTTCAGGAAGAGAATTATTAACAATGATTTGCGGATATTCTAGTCAATTCGCAATTAGATTACCTTCTGATAAATCCCGTGCACACTGAATGTTTTTACCAATTACGACATAATCCTCAAAGGTAAAATTTTCGGGAACAGAGAAAATTCACGGTTTTGCTAGTTACACGTTACCCAAACAAGATTTATACACTGCTGGCCATTAAAATTACAACACCGGGAAGGAATGATCTGACGAACGTCAAAATCACGTGAAAGGAAGAAGAGCTTGGGATATGCAAATGATTAGTATTTCAGCGTATTTAGGCGACACACGAGGGAGAAACGACATCTGAAGCATTTCATAAATGAAAAGTTGTTTAGTGGATTTCCCATTCGGAGAGCGCGAAGTTTGCTCAGAATATCGTGTTATGCCTCGAATAATAGGAAGAAATGCTTACCAACAAGTGTCGGAATTCGAAAGAGGCAAAATTATTACCTATCGAGAGTGTGGATTATCGTTCTCTGATATCGTCCATTGCACAAATCGACATACAACCACTGTCATGCGAATATGGAATCAATGTGTTGCTGAGAGTCATACTGAACGGTATGTCGGATCTCAACGCCCTCCCCTGACTAACGTTCGAGAGGACAGACACATTGCGAGGTCAGACCTACAAAACCGTACAACCATATCACGGACCATTAGTTAGGAAATGGGCATATTTTCAGCATGCCCATTATCCCTTTGTACGGTATTTTGATGTTTGCATCAGATTTGACTATCAGCACGGCGACCATTACTTCGGCTTCCCATGACAATGCAGCATGACGGCGACTCCTGTGAGCCGAACGAGTGGAGTGGCACAATGTCATCTTTTCAAACGAGTCCCGGTTCTGCACACCTCTAGTTCGGTTTGAAGGTAATTTGAACTCTATCAACCATGCGACTAAGGCGGTTGCGATAATACGTAAGCACCATATTTTTCTTGAAACAGTGCTATCCTATTCGCAGCGTCTATGATTTTTTGCATTTACATTAGCAATTTACTTTTGAGAGAATAGTAGTAATTCATTCGTTTAAGCTTCAGTGGTTGCAGCAGCTGATCGTTTCATCGCCTGTAATCCATTAGCTATCAGTTCCATTTTTTAGAGGCCCACCAACGGTCGAGCCGTAAAGTCGCTGAACACTAGTAGTTGGTCCGAGGTTCGAATCCTACAAATGGGCCGGCTTCATGGGTGTTTTTATGGTTTTCCCCATGCATAACGTGTATACAAGCCAGTTTCCCTTAAAAAGGTCCTCTACGAACCCATCCCTCCCTATACGCAGATAGCCCTCGAATCTTTGCCATAATCCCAATCTATTTTGTAGCCATCTTGAGAATCGTTGAAATAGACGAGTTTGTCTTCACAGCTGTTCCAGTCATTGTTGTAGCTGTAGATTCTTTAATAGGAGGGTCTTAGAATCTTCCTTCTCTCAGCCGGTCACGCCAGGTCTGTAATTATTTTAATCAAAGTTTCTGGTAATGAGTATCCTCCATTCCCATTATGACTGCAAATTTTGTGTGCATAGGAGGTTCGTGCTTGGGTTCTTGAATAAAAGTCCTATAACAAGGAACATTTCAACTTTAAAGAAGTTCCAGTATATAATGGATGAAAAAGTATTGGAAGAATTTAAAAAATTGTTAAAATAATCGCAATTTAGATCATCTGCTTGCAAACTTTTAAGGTTATTTATTTTGTCTTTTAATTTTTATTGAAAATGCATAAAAGGCTTATTTATACTTTAATTGGCTTAAAATTAAAGATTTGCTAATTTAACCATTTTTTTTTTCAGGTTACCAGTCTTATCACTGTCATAAATGTGGCTTTATTTCTCCAAATCCAAACCCATTAAAAATTCACTTATTTCTCAATTGTGATACATCCAAATTATTTCCACCTACAGAACGACCAGAAACTTATAATATAAGTCACCATTTATCGTTAAACTTTTCCGACACACCTGGACCTTTCATAGGCAGTGCAAGAGCGCAGAAGATCAACGAAGCAGTGGCGCCTTTGCAGTTTACCTCTAGTCATTTGCCGAGCTCAGCACTATATTCTACCTTCCCTGACAAGAATGTACAAAATGTCTATGAATTTGTAACTCTTAACGCAAATATTAATACTTCCAGCCAGGACCTAAAACTGGAATTTCCTCAGAATTCATTGAATACGTTTTCCAAACGTTGGACCCCGAAATCACTGAGCTGCTCTGGACCAGGTCACATTTGTGCTTATTGTGGAAAAGTTTACTCACGTAAATATGGATTAAAAATTCATGTTCGTACTCATACTGGATATAAACCGTTGAAGTGCAAGTACTGTTTTCGCCCATTTAGTGATCCAAGCAATCTAAACAAGCATGTAAGACTACACACAGAATCTGGAACTCCGTACAGTTGCACAAAATGCGGCAAAGTGCTAGTGCGAAGAAGAGACTTGCAACGGCACCTCAAATCCAGACATTCAATGGATTCATTTAATAACGTGAAGCAACAAAATGTTTTAACAACGGAGAAAAAATAGAGCAAACCCAGCTGAATGCAAATAAATAATTTTGTACCATTCGGCTTGAAATTTGTGTTATACGCAGTGTTTCCTAGCATTAATGTTCACAATAGTTTTCCGAATTTGTTGCAATCTATAACTCTCTCTCTCTCTCTATATATATATAAGCTACAAAACTATTCTAAAAGTAAAAAGTAGAAAATGGTTGGCTGATTAAAATAGAGCACGTAACAGCTATTTTCCTAAAAGAGAAATCCTTCATGGATAATTTTATACGAGACATTGGGCTCGTATCAATGTTACGTACGCGGAAAATCACGAAGCATTTCAAAGCAGTAAGTTTTTTCATGAGTATTTAAGTATGAGTAGAACTATCAGTGTTCAGCGGTTTTATCTACTCGGCCACTGGCAGGCGGTACGAACATTTCCATAGGAAGCCGAAGTACTTCAGGTAATAGTTTTAAGCTAGATAATTCGAAAGTTGTATACATTAATTTGAAGAGAATGTACTGAGTAGTTACATATGGAGATTCAGCTTTTAAGTAGGAATATTACACTGAGAGAGAACAATAAGAACTGAGAGGGTCACATTGTAATTTTTCGTTTGATTGTAGTTGGGAAGTATAATTAAAGGTAGATAAAATTATCTAAATTTAATTCTAATGAAACAAATAAGCAATTATGAATTTATTTTAATTCACTCTAAACCAGGTAAAATTCGATATTGTACCAATTAATGTCAGTAAATATGCAGTATTGCAAACGAAATTTAAAGTGCTGTTAGTAATAATGTAACTCTTACACTTGAAAGAAACATTTATCTGTTGAACAAATCAGAGAATTTATTTTCATAATATCATAGCTTCTAAATATTGCTTCGGACAAAAAAGCAACATATGGAATATTATAATATTGTAATCCTTTCATTTAAATCTATTTAGGTACTTCAAGGAAATGTCGGTGCTTCTGTAAATTTATGTAAAGCAGTTGAGGTGTTTATATATAGGAGCTGAGTATTATGAGTTTACATACAGCAGTTGAGTACCTATGTTGTCACATAGGTATCTGCCCTAATACTCCTACATTATGTTCGTATTTTAACATGAGATGACACAAAAGATACCTGATGATCGTACTAAGACACATATAGTAACTGAGTCGCTCAATAACGTTTTGGGCAGTAAAGAGTAAAGAAGTAAAAAGTACTTTAATCCTGAGTTAGGTGAGCACGTTTGTGTTGCACAATTAGGCGCGTGAGTGACAGGTGTCGCCCATCTATTAAAATGTTACTAAAATAAGAAAAATCATTTCTAGGCTACTGTCACCAGAACAAACGCAAGCAAAACGTTTAACAACTGAAAGGCGCGATTCCGAAAATCCACGCACAGTGTTTCAAACTTGCGACAATTATCGCTGCAGGACACCTGTCAGCCACATTAGTAATCCAGGGTTATTTGCCGGAATATGTACGTTATATGAATACTGCAAATAATTTCTACCCATTTAGTTGCACCATTCTTATAGGAAATTTTCGGATGACTGTAACAAATTATTCTTTAAGAATACAGCGAAATTCACTCATTGACAGGCTTTTAGTAGCTCCTCGTTGCTCGCGAATCATCGACCACGCAAGTTCTTAATGAAACATGCATAGTCCAATGAAGTAATTCCAGACACATTTTCAAACGCTGGTGTTTCTGCAGATCAATGAGGTTTAGGGTGGACTCTCACTGATCACAGATTGCACGCAATTCCAAATCTTCACTCAATTATTGTGCTAGAAGTTTTCTGCAATACCTGTTTCACACTGTATTTCATTGAAGGTTCATCAATATTGAGTTGGACACTTGCTGCACTGCGGCTGGTGTACATAGCCACTACTCGCTGGCGAATTTGTGCTGTTAGAAACCATACAATATGCTTTAACCCTCCATCGCACTATGCATACACTTGTCCACGGCCTTTTGACCTGCCGTTTTATGTCAGAATGTTGGACTTAAAACTAACAATGCCACTACGATCAGTTGTTTGTTTGACTGGAACATCAGCAAACGTACAAATCATTATCGAACCTACGTACTAAATACCTTTTTAAATTCTCAGAATTCAGTTTAAGAGTTTACATTAAAGATGTTAAACTAAATGTTAGAAGAGCTTTAGTTTTAGTTTCAAAATTCCTGAAACTCCACAAAATTCTTCTAACATATCCTGACAGTACTCATTCAAAAGTGAACTGGGTAGTAGCCGAAAGAAAACTGTAGATTCGTAGTAGTTCGTCTTGAACTCTTGTCTCAGGGACTAAATGTGTTGCAGGAAAGACAATTTAGTGGTTTTTCTTTTGACCTTAAGGCAAATATGACCCAGTTTTATTTGAAAATTCATCAACGAAAACATTTCTTTCTTTTAGAAGATAGTCATCGAGTACCTTTGCTATGACGCTCTAACAAATAATACCCTTTTTAACGAATTATGCATATATTTTAAACGATTCGATATTCACGACATCAGATTTTCTGTTGCATTCGAATGGATGGGATATTACTATAATTAAAGGAGAAGTAACTGTTGAACAGTTTTAAGAAAGTTATACTCCCGAGAAAGATATTCTAATCTTGATTCGTCAGGTTTTCTTAAAAAATATGTAAGAATATACGTATCTGAAAATGCACAATAATAAAAATAAGCTGCTAATATTCTATAGAAAACGTAAATTATGTTGTTAAATGTGAGATTTTTCATCTCCAGTGTCTGGCGATTAAAAATCTCATTAACACTTTAATCTGTTAACCTTTCAATAGCGAATTTTCTATCGAATTTGATCACCAACGCCAAACTTTCCGACGAAGGTTTAAAATTTTATGAAATCTCCAAACAGCACTACATCGCCAAATATGGATATTTTCAGTTTCTCATTCATATTGATTTATCAATCAAATTTTTTAACATTATTTACCTCTAATTGAGAAAAAGTATTTGCATAATTGAAAAAAGCATAATCTGTATATTGCTTTATTTACTATAATTTCAATTGTTTTTATAGAAAACGCTTCCTTAGTATTTAATAAAACTGTAATATGCTCTTAGGTGGACGTTAAACTGAATTTGGAAAAATAATGTAATATATTGCATGACCTCAAATGAAATCTCTTGAGTTAAAAGCTAAATTCCTGTAGCTGAAATTAAACAAACAAAACGTTATTAGTTACAAAAGGCAAATTTTCTGTAGATATTTCCCCAGCTTTAAGAGTTCTTTTCATTCGATAGCCTTGAATCAAGAAAGTATTCGCAAGTTTCATCTTATGAATATGCCCACCAGCGGCCGAGCGGTAAAGTCGCTGAACACTGGTAGTTCGGTCCGAGGTTCGAATCCCTTGAACGAGCTGGCTGCATGGGTGTTTTCGTGGTTTTCCCCATGTGTAACGTGTATACGAGCCAGTTCCCTTAGAAAGTCCTCCACGAAAAGGCATCCCTTCCCTTAGGCAGATAGCCCTAGTGTGCTTTGCCATAATTAAATACACCACACCACATCTTGTGAATATTGTAGTCTATTACTTGAATCGAAGTCTTCATAATCAAATCATAAAGCTTTAATCAAATTAAGTCTAAATAATCAAATCATAAAGTCTTAATGAAATTCTTTACGCTTTACTTACGTTATACACATACCTAATTTTCATTAAAGGCACACTGCTATAAATATTTTGTATTTACATGCAGTCAATAGTTGATTGCTAAAATCTAAAAATTAAGACGAGAAGAAATGTGTCTTATATTAATAAAAATATAATAATAATGTGTATTAATTATGTGTCTTATATTAATGTATTATAAATGTAGGATCGGTACTTACTGTCTAGGAATAAGATGTCTGTAAACTTACTTCTTAGGTGGCTGTCTAGCTAATAAACTAGTCCGATTTATGGAAAACTTGATAATTTAATGAAACATGAATAGTTGCTACAAACTACAAAATGATTACATGTGTAGAAGGAAAGAGATACAGAATATTTACAGATGAAGAGAATCAACCGTCTTTTACATGCAAACATCTTTCAGTCGCATAATCGTCTTAATGGCGGAATCGTCTGACTTCTATCATCGGAAAAGTAAAAGATTTATTCTCACAGTTTATCGCGTCATCCGATTATAATGAACGATGCCATCCCACATAAATACATGCCATATGAATTGGATATTGTTTCAAAATATTCAGCGAGGCATTTGGAATTAAGGGATTTTGCACAAGAAAATATTTAACTGAAAAATATGTTTTCTTAAATTTCTTTCTGAAGTCCAAAGCCCTTCACGAAGGCATCCCTCCCCTTAGGCAGATAGCCTTCAAAGGCTTTGCAGTAATCACATAAACCAAACCAAGCAAGGGAAAAAAATATTCGCCACATCACTTTTGAAAATGAATTAATGGATTTCAAAATGAATTCATAGATGTTTCGTCAAATACTGAATTTGGAGGAAGGATACCAAAGCCTTACTAGTAATATATAAAGGGATTATGAGGAAAAAAAGGTGGGGGGGATAAAATTCTGGCATAATATAACCCCCAAACAAACAACCGAAGAAACAAAACAAAAAAAAAAAAAACTAAAGCAAAACAAAATGTAGCTAGCAAGGTATCTAAAGTAAGGTGAGTAAAGTAGGTGAGATAAGGATTTTTAGCCTTTTTATTACAAGCAAAAAGAGCTTCAAAAGATGGTAGAAAGAATTTACACTAAAAATATTTTCATCGTAAATAATTTATACTGACATTGCCTATACGGAAAACCACGAATAGTTTCCGTCAGGCAATTCATTCACAGTGATTTAAACACACTTCGAATTATCTGTGGTCAGCGGATGTGGCGGGCTTGCAGTTCTGGAACATATAATTCTATTTATTTCACTAAATGCAACTAGTGCAAAATAAATTATTGTTTTCATCTTTTTTTACTATGTCTCATCTGTACAATGCATTCAATCTTCAGTTAGTAATTTATTATCTTATTAAACGTAAAGTGTGTATAGTTTGCATTGCGCTAAAATAGCAACAG